CACCTTAGGTGTACGTGGCTGGCGCCTTAGCCAGTTGAGCTATAGGCGCCGAGCCCAGTTTTTCTATTTTTAGTAGAGATGGGGTCTCGCTTTTGCTTAGGCTGGTCTCAAACTCGTGAGCTCAAGCTGTCCACCTACCTTGGCCCCCCAGAGTGTTAGGATTATAGGTGTGAGCCATCATACCCAGCCAGCCTTTCCTTTTTATTCCCATCCTAGCTAGTAGGTATGAAGTGGCAGGAGGGCTTTTGGGGGGCTGGACACAGTGGCTCATACCTATAATCCTAGTACTCTGGGAAGCCGAGGTGGGTGGATTGCTTGAGTTTAGGCGCATGAAACCAGCCTGAGCAAGAATGAGACCCCGTCTCTAAAACTAGCCAGGTGTTGTGTTAGGCTCCCATCCCAGCTACTCAGGAGGCTGAGGCAAGAGAATCACTTGAGACCAAGAGTTGGGGGTTGCTGTTAGGGCACCTCCCGTCCTAGCTACTCGGGAGGCTGAGGCAAGAGAATCACTTGAGACCAAGAGTTGGGGGTTGCTGTTAGCTATGACACCATGGCAAAAAAAAAAAAAAAAAAAAAAAAAAAAAAAAAAAAAAATTTGTTTTTTTTTTTTTTTTTTTTTTTTTTTGAGACAGAGCCTCAAGCTGTCCCCCTGGATAGTGGCATCACAGCTCATAGCAACCTCTAACTCCTAGACTCAAGTGAGTCTCCTGTCTCCACCTCCCAAGTAGCTGGGACCACAGGCGCCTGCCACAGCGCCTGGCTATTTTTTAGTTGCAGCCATCATTGTTGTTTAGTGGGCCTGGGCTGGTTTCAAACCTGCCACCTTGAGTGTATGTGGCTGGCGCCTTAGCCACTTGGGCCACAGGTGCTGAGCCTCAGAAGGCTGTTTTAAGGGAAACGAAATCTGTGTATTCATTTTGCTTCTCATAAAGGTCCTGGTTGTCATAGATTATGTACTCTTATGGCTGGAAGGGCCTTAATTTAGAAAATGTACAATTAGCAATACAATTAGCAAAGTG